AGAAAAATACAGAACCAGAACCAGCCAGGAAAATTTCTCTTCCTAAATAGACCCTAGCCTGTTGACTATTAGCCGTGAGATAAATAATCCAAGGTATAGGTAGTAACCCAAAGAAGAATGTGTCCAATTAATTTTCTGACATAATTTCATGGGATGTCCATGTTCAAATATCTCAGATGGATTAAAAAGTGAATATCAAGGAATTTCACTGTGCTAACAATGCAAAGCAGAAAGCACGATATACATAGTATCCATATAATGGGCAAAAACTTCAGAAATCACTACTAACTCCACTTTATAGATGGATTAACTGAGATTCAGAAAAGCAAGGTAACAAGTCCAAGGTCACAAACCATCTAACTACAGTAAATTCAAATCCAAAGCACTCTGATTAAGAAGTACTAGGAGCAAAAGAGAAATTGTACAGAGCTTAAGATGTTTACCTCCCAAGCAGCCAATCCAGGTTCAAGAGCTGCCTCCAGATATGGTCTATGAACATTGACAGGAATGATCCTTGAGCACAAAGCCAGAAGTATGACCCCTAGATTACCCCCCAAAAAAACCCGCAGTTCAAGAAGTATGAACAGTCCTTGGGAATGGCATCTTTGTTATTTTCTAGTAGAGATCATCACAACTCAATAACACAGGAGCTATACACCATGAAAACCCACTCCAGATACCAGCAACATTTAAAACATGAGTACAAAATTTTCCTTCCACTCCACAGCTATGAAATCTACTCATTAAAAATCATGTGCAGGGGGTGAGGGGAGAGGGGTGTCACACCAGGCAGTGCTGGGGTCAGGGACTATGCAGTGCTTGCAGTGCTGAGGATCAAACCCAGGACCTCTTGAACCATATCCATGACCCTAAGATCTACTCATCTTTAAACTACTAACCAAAGCCTGATTCTGAGGGAGAACAACGACCTTTGGTAATCTCCAGTCACTGCTAGGCCTCAGTTACCCCAACTATAAACTAAAGGCCTGTACGAATAATGTGAATTGCACCCTCCTAATTTATAAAAGACTACCTGCTATTGGGGCCAGAGTGAGAGTACAGTAGGTAGAGTGCTTACCTTGCACATTGCCAACCTGGGTTTGGTCCCTGAGACTTCATATGATCCCCAAGCCCTTAAGAAGTAGTCCCCAAGTGCCCCAATCCCCAGGCCAACAAAAAAAAGAAGAAGACTCTCTGATATAAAAAGATAATACTGTGACTATCTGACTTCAAAGAAGTGTATATTAAAAATCCTGAATTCGGTAGTGTTGAAAGCCAATATGAGTTGCTTTTTGGTTTTGCAAAACTAAAACCACTCCTTTAAAGACCCACTTTTAGGGGGTATGTTGTCACCAACAGGTCAATCCGTACCTGTGAGGCGAGTGCATCAGCAGCCTGATGGCGCCTTCAGACTTCCAGATACCCCAAAATTGCTGTGCCTTTGGCCAGACCCCAAAAACTTGGAGCAAAGTTTACCAAGAAAGTAAACAGCCAAAAAAGGCACATGAGAAAATGCTCCACATCCTTAATCATCATGGAGATGCAGATCAAAACCACAATGAGATATCACTTCACACCACAGAGACTGGCCCACAGCCACAAGAACAAAAGCAGCCAGTGCTGGCATGGATGTGGCGAGAAAGGGACACTCCTTCACTGTTGGTAGGAATGCCGACTGGTTCAGCCCTTTTGGAAAACAACATGGACGATTCTCAAAAAATTAGAAATTGAGCTCCCATTTGACCCAGCAATACCACTCCTGGGAATATATCCCAGAGAGGCAAAAATGTATAGTCAAAGTGACATCTGCAATTGTTTGTTCATTGCAGCACTCTTTACAATAGCCAGAATCTAGAAAAAACCTGAGTGCCCGAGAACAAATGACTGGTTAAAGAAACTTTGGTACATTTACACAATGGAGTACTATGTAGCTGTTAGAAAAGACAAAGTCATGAAATTTACATACAAGTGGTACTACATGGAAAGTATCATGTTAAGCGAAATGAGTCAGAAAGAAAGGGATAGACATAGAAAGATTGCATTCATCTAGGGAACATAAAGTAACAAAATAGGAGACTAACACCCAAGAATGACCGAGATTAGTACCAGGAATTTTACTCCATGGCTTGGAGGCTAACCACACTGCTAGGGGGAAAGGGAGCTCAGATAGAAAGGGAACACCAAATAAAGGTATTGGGAGGATCCTCCCAGGATGGGAGAAGCATGCTGAAAGTAGACTATAGACCAAACATGATTGTCACCCATTGCCTCTTTTGCAAACCACAACACCCAATAAGAGCGAGAGAACAAAAGGGAATGCCCTGCCATAGAGGCAGGGTAGGATAGGGGGTATGGGGGGTGGGAGGGATACTGGGATCCGTGGTGGTGGGAAATGGGCACTGGAGAGGGATAGGTATATGATCATTGTATAATTGAAACCCAAGCACAAAAATTTGCAAGTCTACAACTGTACCTCATGATGTCCCATTAATAAAATAAATAAATAAATAAAAAGAAAGTAAACAGCCAAAAGTTAGGTATGTGGGAGACACACACACAAACCATCTCCGGCTCAGCTATATAATTGGATGCAAGGCCTCTCTGGCTCCTGATCAAACTGCTTAATGGCCAGGATCATAGAGAATCAGAGACAAATCTCAGAACCCAGTGGCTTTTGGCAGAGATGCGTCTGGTCCCTGCAATGGGTTACTGGCGCCAGACCACCCAAGGGGGAAAGGGTGTTGTCTCTCCGCCTGCTCCCCCTTGGTAGCTCAGTGGCTGCCATCCTCCAGGGGCCATTAGTCAGTCAGGTATGAACCCGCAGTGACGAGACACGTGGGGCCTCACTGGATGGGAGTGGAGCCAGCCCTTTCCTCCTCGCCCCAACAAGACCCCAAGTTGCCACCCATGAACGGCCTCTCTGGTTCCTGATCAAGCTTAACGGCCATGATCCCAGAGACTCAGAAACAAATCTTTGAACCCAGTGGCTCTGGCAGAAATGTGTCCGGTCCCTGCAGTAGGTTACTGGGGCTGGGCCAACCCAGGTGGGAATAGGTTTTGTACCTTGGCCTGTTCCCCCTTGCAGCTCGGTGGCTGCCATCCTCCAAAGGCCACTGGACAGTCAGGTTTGGGCCCGCAGTGAGGAGACACGTGGGGCCTCACAGGATGGAGGTGGAGCTAGCCCTTTCCTCACTGCCCCAACAAGACCCCGGGTTGCTGCCCATGAATGGCCTCTCTGGCTCCTGATCAAGCTGCTTAATGGTATGATCCCAGAGACTCAGAAACAAATCCCGGAACCCAGCAGTTTTTGACAGAAATGGGTACAGTCCCCAACAGTATGTTACTGTCACCAGGCCACCCCAGGGTGGAAAGGGTGCTGTCCCTCCGCCTGCTCCCCCTTGGTGGCTCAGTGGCTGCCATCCTCCAGAGGCTATTGGATGGTCAGGTTTGTGCCCTACTGCAGTGACGAGACATGCAGGGACACACGAGATGGAGGTGCAGCCGGCCCTTTTCTCCCCACCCCAATGAGACCCAGAGTTGCCACCCACAAATGGCCTCTCTGGCTCCTGATCAAGCTGCTTAACAGTCATGATCCCAGAGACTCAAAAACAAATCTCAGAACCCAGCAGGTCTGGGCAGAAATCCCTCCAGATTTAATTGTTAAAATTTCAGAATTCCAAAATTGTGTGGCCACTACTGCGGGTGTGCGACATCATATGTTATTCATAACCAGCAACAGAAAACAAATTGCCTACTGTTGCCTTTTCAGCAGATCTGAGTTTTGGGGTAAAATCCCAAATAATAGTGGTGGGTCTGGTGTAAAAATATTGAATTTAATCAAAGTAGAGAGAGAATAATGTGGAAATCACCTGCCCCACAGACATGGGAGGGTGTGGGATGGGGGGTATACTGGGGGTTTTGGTGGTAGAAAATGGACACTGGTGAAGGGACAAGTGTTTCTTTGTATGACCAAGACTTAAACCCGAAAGCTCTGTCACTGCTTTCACGGTGATTCAATAAATAAAATTATAGAAAGGGGGAAAAAAGTAAGGTGGAGTTCATGCCCAATTCAAAAAAAGAGAAAAAAGAATAAAATAAAGGCCCACTTTTAGTGAAGCTGGAGCTACTTCTTGGAACAGACAAGAATGGGTCAGTGCAACATTGCCATTCCCATACCACCCTCCCTGCAGTTGGTTCACACTCTCAGGGGCTTGCCTGATGCATCTGTACGATGTCCTTAGTGAGCCCTTGAGTATTTCAAGAAGTATAAACCATTTCGCTTTTTTATTCTAATAACAAGCTCATCTGGGCCCTCAACTAATGAGCATCTTTGTGCAATTCACCATGAATATGGTTTTTCCTTATGCCGTGGTAGTCATGAGACAAGATAAATAAAACTAGCATTGGCCAATAGGTAGCCTATTTCTTATTCTATTGTTTTTTCTGTAAGAAAAGAAACTCTTCAACTGCATCCCTGAGACATGAGCATGACAATGGATGTCTGGTGGAAAGGCTGGATCAGGGCTGATTCTTACAAGAGGTCGGTCACTTGCTAGGTTTTCATCTATCAACTAGGAAGTACTTCTGTGCTAGAGCTCTCCCTCATTCTGTTCTATAATTAGAGATTCTGCCCACTAGGTCTGGAATAATTTTTTATTCGAAACATAGAAAATCAGAGGATTAAATTTAAAATAAAACCATAATTTGAAAATTTCCCAAATTATGGTCTTTGAAAAACTGGTGATAATAAAGTTCCTGGGAAAAGAGGTGGGGAAAAGATAGTGGGGTGGATCAATAGCTAAATGAGTTTGGAAATACGAGTTGTAAGCTATTACTGGGAAACATTCCATCAGAGATACACTGACATCAAAGACCTATGATGGACCCCAAATGGGGACTCAATTAATATTCCTGGGATCACCACTGGGAGCAGAACATTCCCTTGGCATAAAGAGGGAAACCCCCAAAAGAGAGGAAAAGCTTCATTCAAGGGCCCTTACCCGGTATTTCTTTTCTTGTTCAAATTTTTCTTCAAATTTGCGAATTTTCCGCTTGAGGCTCTGAATGTGTTTGGTGAGCTGGGTAATGGTCTGTGGTTCCTTTCCATCACCACAGCTGCACCGTGAAGAACTTCGGGGCCTGCCACAATTACAGAGAAGGGAAGATCATCAATGACAACTGTCTTCCAGTAAACGCTGTCACTGGACTTAACACTTTGAGTTATCAGAGACATGCAGGGAGCAAGTTCATTTTGTGATATGTCTGTTGTAATACCACCTGCTCATAACCGGAGACCCCATCTGCATTCTGGGCAAATGCCACCTAGTGCCTTTTTTAAAAGATTTTTTTATTTTTTGTAATGGATCCCTCTGAGGTACAGATTCAGACTTACAAACTTTCGTGGTTACATTTCAGTCATACAATGCTCAGTACCCATCCCTCCACCAGTGCCCATTCTCCTCTACCAGTGATCCCAGTGCGCCTCCCCCAACCCCCACCTCATCTCTCCCACCCAATTCTGTGGCAGGGCATTCCCTTTTGCAGTCTCTCTCTCTCTCTCTCTCTCTCTCTCTCTCTCTCTCTCTCTCTCTTTCTCTCTGGGTGTTGTGGTTTGCAATAGAGGTATAGAGTGGCCATCATGTTCGGTCTATAGTCTATTTTCAAAACACATCTCCCATCCTGAGCGGGCCCTCCCAGCACCCTCTACTTAGTGGTCCCTTATCTATCTGAGCTGCCATTTCCCCCAGCATGTGAGGCTCGCTTCCAAGCCATGGAACAATCTTCCTGGTGATTATCTCTACTACTCTTGGGTGTTAGTCTACCTTTCTGTTACTTTATATTCCACAGATGAGTGCAATCTTTCTATGTCTGTCCCTTTCTGACCTAGTGCTTTAATGCAAAAAAATGTCAGAGCACTCATCAAGAATATTTTGTTTTTGCTACTGTTGTGGGGCTCATATCCAATGTGCTGGGTTGGGATTTGTGGACAACAAGGCCACACCAACAGGTCAAATAAGGGGAGATATGTAATGACAGTAATCAACTGCAGCACACGATATCACTTGAGCTGCAGACACAGCCCAGAAATGTATTTTTTTAAAGCTTGGAAAAGACCCATTAAAGATTTAAAGAATCCCAGTCATGACAGCAGCTCCACCTGTGGATGACAATGACAAGAAAGATATAGATGAATAATTTCTCTGAAATTATTACAAATAATTTTATTTGAGTCTTTACTGAGTCTTTACAAATTTGATGAAGGAAATAGACACACACACCCTCCACAAAGTACACATACCCTCCAGAAAACACAACTTTTTACTGGGAATAGCAATAATTCACTGATTCCCTCAAGTCTGCCAGAGTCCAAGAACCCAAGCTTGAATTAAGAGGAAACTAGATTTATACTCTGTCTTTCCCTCCCTTCTTTCCTCCTATAGAAATATTATTTAAACTGTGTATTTAAATGTGCATTTGTGGACCTTAAAGAAAATGCATTACTTCCACAGTTTGGGGAGAAAGAAAGTGATCTCATACGAATTCCTAAACATCTTGCTCCCAGGAAAAATTATGTTCCTGGTATTACCATGTATTGTTCTGGAGGATGCTGGCCCTTTCACCAAGGTAACCCTATGACCATTTACAAGGTAATCTTATGACTATTTCCTCTAGGGCCAGGAAGGGCTGGGACAGAATCCCAACCATGAAATACATTGAGGGTCAGAGAGATAGTACAGCAGGTAGAACATTTAAAGGAAGCAAGCAACTGACCTAGGTTCAATCCCCAGCACCCTATATGGTCCCTTGAGCATTGCTAGGAGTGATTCCTGAGTGCCAAGCTAGGAATAACCCCTGAGTACTGCCAGCTGTGGTCTCCAAACCAAAAAACATACAAACCCAAAAATACAACCAGGAGGCACATTTTTGCCCTTTCTGTTGCTGTTATTAATCTCTTGTACTTGAATTTGGTAAGCACGTGTGCATCTTTTCAGACACTTCATGGTAGGCTATAATCAAGTATTTGAAAGGGTATTTGAAATGATGATAAAGCAAGGTTTTCTTACATCATAAATTGCTGAGTGCTGGGTGGAGAAGGGGCTGATTCAGGGTCTAAGTTGAATCTCTGGCTTTGGCTGAAGATGGAGCATCGCGGTGACAGCAGTGGATTGTCACCATCAGTGATGTGATAGAGTAGTCTGCTGGTCCCAAAAGACTGGAGGTCTTCTGGTGTACTCTCTGCTTCACTCTGTCCATCTTTGAGGAATGGAGCAGGGTCTGAGGAAACAAGGTAAATCATCTGGCCTGGGAAGTGACAGAGGGCTCGATCATCACGTTCCTAAAGAAAAAGAATCAGTAGCCCCTCAAATGCTCATCCTGTCTCTGTCATCTCTTCCTTCTAGGAATATTAAAAGGCTTTCAAAATACTGTCTGGTATACTCTCTCAGAACCTGAATAGAAAGTGTAACAGAACCATTAACAACAACATAGAAATAATGACTTAAGTATGAGTTACAGAGACAGTGGTATTCTCAACTACAAATAAATAATAATCTTCTCTACTCTGGCTATTTGCATATGGTGGAGGCTATATTATAGACTGCTGGAGGAAATAAAATAAAAATAATAAAATTAAGTAAAATGGAGTTATAGCTAAAGATAAATGATAATGAGGAAGAAAGGGGATCACAAAATTGCCAGTGAAGGAGTGGAAGAAAGAAGTGATAACAAGGGAGAAATAAGTTCCTAGATAGAAAATTACTCATCCATCATTTAAGTTTATGCAGAACTCTGCTTATCAATATGGAATGACATGCAAAATATGTTCAATGAAAAACCACAAATTTCAAAATAACAAATGACTCCATTTTATATTAACAGAATGCACTTATGGGGAGTAGGATGTGCTAAAGCTATGCTTTGCGAGTCTGAGACCCTGGGTCCAATCCCTGGTACCCTCCCAAATAAATAACATGTAGAAAAGCATACACAACAAGTGTAAAATAACAGACAAGTGTGAAATATATGCACTAAACAAGCAAAGATAATCACAATGCATGGTGATCACAAAGCACACTAGAATTAGGAATGACTGGGTTCCCACAAGCTATGTTGAATTTTTTTAATAAAAAAGGAAAAAGCAAAACAAAATCTGTTCCAAACCTATTTCCAATGTAGGCCACTAGCTCTGTGCCAGCATTCTCATCACCGCAGACACAGCAATGCTCCTTTAAATGAGCTCATTAACTCCCCACCCAGGGTCAATCCAGACTTTGGGTAGCCCTTTGCTTTAGACAGGAACAGGGAAGTGAGGACCATCAAGACCATGTGCCTGGGTGTCCAGGGTGAGTAACTCCACCTGAGACTCAGCGTTAGATTAAGACACAGTCAAAACAAAATCCATAATGGTGTCTTACAGACAAGCCTGACAACCCTAGATTTCTCTTCCTCCTACTGCCCTAATGGAAAATAAAGACTTTTTGGGGTGAACAAACAGAATCTGAAAATGTTGACAATCCACATGTCCAAAGCAAATATTTTTGCCATTTGGAATCAGATGGATCTTAATCAGAATTGGAGTATTTCCTGTTCTTTAGAACTTGGAATGCAATTTTCTGTGTGTAACATCATTGGTCTGACCGAGACAAGAAGACACGAATCTCACCATGCCGTTTTCGACACTGGAGAAGAATTGTTCCTCGGAACATGCGATAAAAGAGGTGTTGGAGGCGTCGGTGTCCTTGTCAACACAAACTTGGCCAAGAGCATTGATTCATTCGAATGCCTAACAACCCGAATCAGACGTTTACATTTGAATAGATGTGGCTCACTGCCTGCAGTTTCTATCTTCGTTGTCTACGCACCAACATCTCATTATGATGAAAGAGAAATCGAGAAGTTCTACATGGAGCTAGAGAAGTTCTATAAAGAAGACCACACCTTCTACAAGATCATTGTGGGTGATTTTAATGCCAAGATAGGACCGAGAAGATCAGCTGAAGAACTTCACATCGGAACCCATGGCCTAGAAAGGAACGAACAGGGTGAGAGACTGTCTGAGTTCATCATGTCGAGCAAGACCATTCATGGTAACTCACAGTTCCAGAAGGCAGAATCTAAACGATGGACATGGGAGTCTCCCGGTGGACGATTCCACAACGAAATAGACCACATCATATTCAATCGACGGTTTTGCCTGACTGATGTCACTGTTGTCCCAAAATTTCGAATGGGATCGGACCACCGTCTCCTCGTGCAAAATTCTACTTCACAGAGCGGGGAGAAAGGGCTGCAAAGTTCAAAAAGAGAACTCCCAGAACGACCACCAACTGGGAACTCTTTGGTACTATTGCGGCAACATGGGAAGATGCCATTGTTGACAACATTGACGAGGAATACGATCAACTGGTTCAGCACCTCCATGAATGTGCGAGGAACGCCAAGAGAGAGATAGCCACAAAAAGTCGCCTATCTTCGAAAACTCTTGAGCTAATTCGCCAGCGTGGTTTGGCGCATGCCTCAGGCAACCGCAAGCTAACGTCCGAGCTTGCAAAGCAGTGCAGAGATGCGATCAAGGAAGACCTCAAAGAGAGAAGAGCAGAAGTACTGGTAGATGCGGCAGAAGCCGGGAAAAGTATTCCTAACGCCCGCCTGTCCTTCGCCAACTATAAGACCAAGATGACTGCCCTCCGACGTCCTGATGGATCCATCACATCCTCCAGAACGGCAATGGAGAAGATTATCCATGACTTCTACTCAAATCTCTTCGATAGCCATGTCCACTTGCCGACATACCAAATTCCACAGGATGGGTATGTCGTTCCCAACGTTCTCCCTTCCGAAATCCAACACGCCATTTCGTCAGTAAAGAAGCAAACAGCACCCGGCCCAGACAAGGTCAGACCTGAACACCTGAAGAACCTGCCATCAGTACTCATCAATACACTGGCTCGGCTCTTCACTCGCTACCTGTCTGAATGCAAGGTTCCATCTCAATGGAAAACCAGCAGGACCGTACTACTGTTCAAGAAGGGAGACATCCATGACATTGGCAACTATCGCCCGATCTGCCTATTGTCTGTCATCTACAAGTTGTTCACTCGAGTCATCCTGAATAGGATTGGCAGAACACTAGATGAAGGACAACCATGTGAGCAAGCAGGGTTCCGCAAAGGATTCAGCACCATCGACCATATCCACACGATAACCAAACTCATTGAGGTTTCTCGGGAGTTCAAGATGCCGCTCTGCTTAACGTTCATTGATTTAAAGAAGGCCTTTGATTCTGTTGAGACGGAAGCGGTCATTGAAGCCCTAGCCAATCAGGGCATTCAAGCCCAATACATCAGGATGCTCCGTGAGCTGTATTGCGGATTCACTACCAGGATCTCACCATTCTACAAAGAAGTGATCGTTGATGTCAAGAGAGGGGTGCGGCAGGGTGATACCATTTCACCAAAACTCTTCAGTGCCACCCTCGAGAACATCATGCGACGACTGGAATGGGAAAACATGGGAGTGAAGATAGATGGTCGGCAACTACACCACCTCCGCTTTGCTGATGACATTGTTTTAATAACACCAAACATCAGCCAAGCGGCACAAATGCTGGCCGACTTTGACCGTGAGTGTGGAAAGGTAGGACTACAGCTGAATCTTACGAAGACAATGTTTATGAGAAACAGCCTTGTTCCTGACACCCCATTCGCTCTCAATGGAACGACCATCTCCGAATGCAACAGCTATGTGTACCTAGGTCGAGAGGTCAACATGACAAATGACCTGGCACCCGAGCTGCGCAGGAGGAAGAGAGTGGCTTGGAACGCCTTCAAGAACGTCGAAGAAATAGCTAAGAGGACGAAGAACCTCCGGCTCCGGGCACATCTCTTTGATTCCACTGTTCTTCCTGCATTAACATATGCCTCAGAGACCTGGGCCCTACGCAAACAAGATGAGAACGCCATTCAGGTCTCCCAAAGAAGAATAGAAAGAGCTATGCTTGGAATATCACGTTTCACTCAAATGAGAGAACGAATCCGGAGTTCTGACATCCGTCGACGATCAAGGATCAGGGACGCTGTCTCATTTGCCAAGGTGTCGAAAATCAGATGGGCTGGCGAGCACACATAAGTAACCTAACCTCACAGCTTAAGAGCTTGGAGAAGGACCAAAAAAAGGAGCACAACCCGAACAGGAGAAAGGAAATAATAAAACTCAGAGCAGAGATTAACGAGATGGAAACCCAAAAAACAATCCGAAAGATCAATGAAACCAAGAGCTGGTTCTTTGAGAAAATTAACAAGATCGATAAGCCTCTAGCAAAACTCACAAAGAAAGGGAGAGAGAAAACCCTAATAAACCGAATCAGAAATGAAAAGGGGGTCATTACAACAGAAACCACAGAAATTCAGAGGATCCTCAGGGAGTACTTTGAGAAGCTTTATGCCACGGAACATCAAAACCTCGAGGAAATGGATAAATTCCTAGATTCCTACAGACTCCCAAGGCTGAACCAAGAAGACCTGGAATACCTGAACAGACCTATCACCATCAAGGAAATTGAAATGGTAATAAAAAGTCTCCCCAAGCACAAAAGTCCTGGCCCGGATGGATTCACTAGTGAATTCTTCCAAATCTTTAAAGAGGACTTACTCCCAATGCTCTTTAAGCTTTTCCACGAAATTGAAATATCAAAAACACTTCCAAACAGTTTCTACGAAGCAAATATCACACTGATACCAAAAGCAGACAGAGATACCACAAAGAAAGAGAATTACAGGCCGATATCCCTGATGAACACAGATGCAAAGATCCTCAACAAACTACTAGCAAATAGAATCCAACTACTCATCAAAAAGATCATACACCATGAACAAGTAGGATTCATCCCAGGGATGCAAGGATGGTTCAACATTCGGAAATCAATCAACATAATCCACCATATCAACAAAAGAAAAGATAAAAAGCATATGATCATATCAATAGATGCAGAGAAAGCATTTGATAAGATCCAGCACCCCTTTATGATGAAAACCCTAGCCAAAATGGGTATAGAGGGGACCTTCCTCAACATAATTAAAGCCATCTACCACAAGCCTACAGCAAGCATCATCCTCAATGGGGAAAAACTGAGAGCCTTCCCTCTAAGATCAGGGACGAGACAGGGATGCCCACTCTCTCCACTGCTGTTCAATATAGTACTGGAAGTACTTGCAATAGCGATTAGGCAGGAAAAAGATATTAAGGGCATTCAGGTAGGAAAGGAAGAAATCAAGCTC